GGTCGTGATAGCTGGATGCGCTTCAACTCTCGCGTGTTCACCACCCTCCCCCACCCTGGACCGGACGGCCGGGTTATGGGCGAGCTCACGCTCTGCCCGCGTTTTACTGCTGGCTCTTGCGTTTACGCTACACACGACGACGCTCCTGCCTCCTCGTTTCACCTTAAATATGCGGGGAGCTCGGGAATTTCCTTGGGGCCGGAGCCTGCACTCGTTGAGGTGGACCTCGTTCGTTCTTCTGGCATGCCTGCTGAGAGTATCTGGTATCGTTCAAACCCGAAATGGGTGCGCTTTCGTCCCCAGATGCGTTCGTTTCCAATGGTCTCCAGCGTATTCCACTTGCAGGTTGTGCCGAGCTGGAGCCGGGAGACGTTATTGGAGTGTCTGCCGCACCGCTACTACGAGTACCGGTGGAAACTCTGAAGGCAGCACCATCTTCGATTCCTACCGGCCCCACAACCTCTACATCACTACCGCGGGTCAACGTCGTTGGCCCCGAGTCCGGGACTCGCCGTTCTCCGGACCCAGCCTCCGCCCCGCCTCCTCCGAAGCCGCCTCCACAAGAACTACTTGACCGCTTCTCTGAGGCACAGCGCTCCAGCTTCATGCGCTTGTGGGCTAGGCTGCTCGCACACATGCACGATATCGCTTTCGATATACACAATCCGGGATGGACACCGGAGGCTATTGATCGTTTGGCCGACGCCCTTGTTGAGTATTCTGACGTGTTTTCTAGTTCGAAAACCGATTTTGGTTCTTGCACCATCATGCCGTTCACTCTTTCTGTCTCAGCAGGGACGAAGCCCGTTGTGTCACCCCCGTATCGTGTCAACCCGTTAATGCAAGAGAAAGTGGATGCCGTTTTGGACCAATACTTGGCGGCAGGGCTCATTCAGCATTCCACGTCTCCGTGGGCTTCTCCTTTAGTTGTCATCCCCAAGAAGGACGGATCGGTTCGCATCACCGTCAACTACAAGCGTCTCAACGCCCTGGTGGATTTGGATAGACAACTTCTTACTCGGGCAGACGGTATCTTGGATTCTCTGGACACCGGGAAAGTGTTCTCCATCTTCGGCCTCAACTCGGCTTTCCACTCAATCGTTTGCGATGAAGACACTGTCCTGCTCATCGCCTTTTGCACTCCCACGCAGTTGTTCGAATGGCTTCGAATGCTGCAGGGAGCCAACGCAAGTCCGTCTTGGTTCGTCAAGGTCATCAACAGAGTGGTGCACGGTCTGGAGCGTGTGCTTGCGTATCTGGACGATGTCATCTGTTTCGATGAGGAACCATCTCTGGGACACGTGCTCAACATGATCGAGTTCTTCAGACGGCTGCGACAGCACCTCAAACTGTCTCCGGGGAAGACTCGCGTCGGCGCCACACACGCCAACTTCCTTGGTCACACTATCTCTCCGGCCGGTGTTAGCCCTGATGGCGTCAAGGTTAGGGCGCTCACGCACTTGCCGCCGCCGACGAATGCTAAGCAGCTTCGGAGCCTTCTTGGTGGACTCAGTTACTACCGGAAATTCCTCAAGAATCTCGCCACCAAGGTGCGGCCTCTCAACTCTTTTCTCAAACAAGGCGTTCCCTTCAAGTACACGCCGGGCATGGTCAAGGTTGTCAACACGTTGTTAAGCGAACTCGCTCGCCCCCCGATTTTGGTCTTCCCGGATTGGGCAGTGGTCGAGGACAACAACCGTCTTCTCCGTTNTTCTCAAACAAGGCGTCCCCTTCAAGTACACCCCGGGCATGGTCAAGGTTGTCAACACGTTGTTAAGCGAACTCGCTCGCCCCCCGATTTTGGTCTTCCCGGATTGGGCAGTGGTCGAGGACAACAACCGTCTTCTCCGTTTGTGTTTCGACGCGTGTATCGACGGCTTTCGCGCCTCCTTGGAACAAGAACAACTCGATGGCTCTGTGAGACCCGTTGTGTACATCAGCCGCGCTACTCTTCCTGCGAGGCGTAACTGGACCGTTCTGGATCTGGAGGCTGGTGGCATTGTTTGGGCCATCAAACGCCTTCGCAGTTATCTGTGGTCGACCAAGTTCACCATCTATTCGGACCACAAAGCCTTGGAGAGCATTGGCAAGGTCGGGGAACACAACGCTAGGGAGCAACGATGGCTCGAATTCCTGCCCAACTTCACCTACACCCTGAAATATCGGAAAGGTTCGGCAAACGGCAATGCGGATTTTCTTTCGCGGCTGCCTTTTCCAGCACAAGACACTGACAAAACCGGCCCCGACTGCATTGATGGTGTCCATCAAGCGGGTGTTTTCCTCATTTGGGCTTGCGGGCGCAACTATCACTCGTCGTCTACGCCGGAGGCCGGTTTGGGTGGGCTCCGCCCTCCTTGCCCGGCGGGAGTCTTTTCGCCCCCAGCGCTGCAGCCCTCCGATTTTGGAGATTTTCGTCGACATCACCCGCGTCGGTTGGATGCTCTGACGGACTCAACGATTGCCTGCGAGGATTCTCGGCGGTCTCCGGGGGTCTTCATCGTCTCGCCTGTTCCCGGATCTTCGGGGCCTGCTTCCCCATTGACTTCTGCTGCGTCCCGCGTGATGTCTCCTGTCGCGTCGTGTGCACGTTTTGCCTACGCTTCTGGAAGCGGGGACCGCTCATTTCTTCAAGGACTCGGGCCAAGACTACCGCTGCTTCCGGAGGCACCGTCACCGGTCCCGCCTATTTCGGACGCCAGCCGCGGGCTACTATCGTCCCTTAGGCATCGTCGCCTGCCCGTCACTCTAGAAGGTCCCGCTCGACAAACAAGACCACCCGGACCGCCGCACGTCTGCTGCGGCCATCCGCGCCGCCGGCATCGGCGTTTTCGTCGATTGCTCCTGAGCCACCGGTGTCTTCGCCGTCAGCGGCGCGCCCTGCATCCCCGGTTTCGCCTTCTCTACAGGTTTCGCCCGGGACTTCGCCCCTCACCATTTCCCCTTCGCGGACATCATGACGGACTGCGTCTGCCCCAGCCGCTGCGGCTTCTCCTTCTTCAGCCTCTTCCGTTAGATCGCCTGACTTACTTTTGGAATCTACTGATTTGGACACCTCTCACTTGCGGGCTAGTTTTCAGAGTTTCAGCACTGTGGACTGGGCTAGGGAACAACAGCAGGAGAGCGAGCGTGTGGTGGCTATGCGTTTTTTGGTCTCGCGGTTTTCCCTCCCCACCCCCTCCGGACTTGCTCACCCTCCGTGCTCCTCTTCGCCCCCCTCGGTTAGATGATGTGTTTGCGTTGGCGGTGAAAACCAGACTGCACACGACCGACGACAAGGTCACCCTCCTCGTACATAAATCGGCACCGTCGCCGATTGGGCGCTCTGGCGGCAGGACCACTCGTCTGCCGGATACTGGCTTGCCCCGTGTCTACGTGCCAATGCTGGTGCGTCCGTGGGTCCTTCATGCATGCCATTCCGCCGCGTCCTTCCATGTCGGCGTCCATCGTACACAGCGTCTGCTGGAACGTTTCTACTGGTGGATTGGTTTGGATCGTTCCGTGCGCTGTGGCTTCGGGCGTGTTTGGTGTGTCAAGCTCGCAAGACTTCACGTCAGACTGCTCGGTGGCCCGTCATCGCTATGCCATTGCCGCAGGGACCTGGTACGGTCGTCGGCGTCGACTTCTTCGGACCTCTGCCCGTGACTGCTAAGGGCAACTCCTACATTTTGTTGTTCACAGACCGTTTCAGTCGGAGAGCCGACATGTTCGCGGATACAGCAGCGGAATTTACGGCGAAAGGGACGGCTCACATCGTCGTCAACGAGTACATGACCAAGTGGGGATGTCCGACTACGTTATTGTCGGACAACGGACTGCATTTCTGCTCGAAGCTCTCCATGGCGATCTACGAGGTGATGAAAATCAAGAAGGTCACCACCAGCTCCTACCACCCGCAGACCAACGGCGGCACGGAACGCGTCAATCACATGATGGCCCAGATGCTTGCGGTGGNCACATCTAGATGTGTATAAGAGACAGCCACCAGCTCCTACCACCCGCAGACCAACGGCGGCACGGAACGCGTCAATCACATGATGGCCCAGATGCTTGCGGTGGTCGTCAAAGAACAGCAAAACGGTTGGGACGTACATGTCCCGCACGTTGAGTTTGCCTACAACAATTCCGTGAACCAGTCTACCGGATCGGCGCCAAACGAGATCCACATCGGACGCATCCCTCGACTCCCGCTTTCGGTCTTCGATCATCCCACGGTAGGTGGTCATCAAAGCTTGGCCCGCGATCAACTCGAGTATTGCAACCTGGCTGTCGATCGCCAGCGCCGGGCCTACGAACGTGTCCGTGAGTATAACGCCCTGAAGACTTCGCGAGTCGAACGCCGCAATTCATCCCTGCTGAACGCCATTCACAAGCTCCCTCAGTTCACCGTTGGCGGGTGGGCTTGGGTGTACGAGACGGCTGCTACGATTCGACAGGGTGTGCAGAAGGACACGGACCAACAGGTGCTCAAGGCCAAATTCCTACTTTCCTGGACGGGGCCCTACAAAGCTCTTGCGGTGGGTCCCGCTTCTGCCGACGCCACCCCGGACGGCAGCCCGTTGGGGCGTAAACACCTCCACCTGGACCTGCCTTCCGATCTTTCCGGCCCAGCAGCTCGTTGTCGCGTGTCTGTCCTTCGTTGCAAGTCTTGTCGCAATTCGTACGAGACGGACGACTTGCCGCAATATCTACCCGCCGAGATTTCGCGTTATGTTCTGCACTCTTTCGGAGACAATTGTCCACCATTCCACGTCACCGCGGATGATGTGTCGGTGCCTGTCGGGCGCCTCGAGGTCAACACACATCTCGGGATATCAACTGGTGCGGGGCCGTAGCGGCGTTCTCGCTGTCCTGTATCAGACGCATTGGTGAGGCCTGACTACTCATTCATGGGAACGGGAATCCGACCTCGATCAATTCCGTCGACACATCCTCTTGTACTGGTTCCGAGAGGTCTGCCAAAGCAAGCAGGGTAACCGCACATATCGAGTGGCTCGGACTNCTGCTACGATTCGACAGGGTGTGCAGAAGGACACGGACCAACAGGTGCTCAAGGCCAAATTCCTACTTTCCTGGACGGGGCCCTACAAAGCTCTTGCGGTGGGTCCCGCTTCTGCCGACGCCACCCCGGACGGCAGCCCGTTGGGGCGTAAACACCTCCACCTGGACCTGCCTTCCGATCTTTCCGGCCCAGCAGCTCGTTGTCGCGTGTCTGTCCTTCGTTGCAAGTCTTGTCGCAATTCGTACGAGACGGACGACTTGCCGCAATATCTACCCGCCGAGATTTCGCGTTATGTTCTGCACTCTTTCGGAGACAATTGTCCACCATTCCACGTCACCGCGGATGATGTGTCGGTGCCTGTCGGGCGCCTCGAGGTCAACACACATCTCGGGATATCAACTGGTGCGGGGCCGTAGCGGCGTTCTCGCTGTCCTGTATCAGACGCATTGGTGAGGCCTGACTACTCATTCATGGGAACGGGAATCCGACCTCGATCAATTCCGTCGACACATCCTCTTGTACTGGTTCCGAGAGGTCTGCCAAAGCAAGCAGGGTAACCGCACATATCGAGTGGCTCGGACTCGTGCAGCACAGCGGGAGCTGGCCCGGAATCGTGGAGAACGCTATTTGCCTCCTGGGGCTGATCTTGTGCTTTACGCGACTTGGCTTCGTCGTTTCAGCGCTTCGCCCCTCTCTGTTGGCGCGCGGCTGTGGTACAAGGTCCGTGATGGCTTGTGGTGGACCGGACGTATTGGTGCTCATCAGGGCGGCTCGTACATCGTTCGATTTTTGGATGACCCGGGCCCAAGCGTTCTCCCTCTG